TTAGGATCTTCGAAAAGCTCGCACTAGGAACTTTCTACCTAGAACACCTCAATGGTGAAGCTATACTACGAGCATGGAACTTCGAGCATTTGCGAAGGTATTACCAATAAACAGCTTAGTTATCAATTATGTTTTATTTTTTTTCTCATTCAATGTAAGGTTCTTTACGGCCAAATTTCGTTCATTAGTAAAAAGGAATTATTCATAAACTTTGTTTTGTTCGTTATTTATTATCTATTATTTCAAAATCATGACCTAAGCGATCACATCCAAAACTCAGAGTCAAGAATTCGAAAAAGCGAGCTTAGCTTTATAAGCCACACCAAAATTAAACTCATTAAGGGAGAAATCTCCTAAATCAACGAAGTTAAAACTCGGGAAAACTCAAGTAAAACACGTCGAAGGAAAATCGGTCATAAACCGGCAACCAATACTCGAGACGAGCAACTAGTCCAAACTCGGAGTTGTCGCACAGAAGATTTTCTTATATGTTTGAAAAGTTCCTTAAGAAGCAAGCCACGCATAATTTAGAATTGTCTTGTTCATAAAGAAGCGGGCTACGCACAACTTGGAGCAAATTTGAAAATTTTTATATTAAGTTCAATCAGAATGATTGAAATGACTCTACAGAAATGAAAACATTGCTTGATAGAAATGGGCAAAATAAATTGTTCATTGATTGTATTAGTTTAGTTACAAGCTAAACTACAGTATATATATATATATATAACAAAAAAGGAGATAAGAAAAAACGTATCGTCCGCAACAAGAGTCTTGGCAACCTTTTCAGGGGCAAAAGCCGAGACATCCTTCGGAGGCTCGACCGGGGGAAGGTCGATAGCAACATGTAGGAGTGTAGCCAGAGGATGCGGATCATCAACCTCTTGCTTAATCTCGACTTCCTCCTCGTCCTCCTCGACCCCTTCCTCATCCTTGCTGTCGGGTTCGAAGCTATCCAAGTAAATGTACTCCTTACCCTGGGCCTCAATCTTCATCCTGTCAACCTTCTTCTGATAAGCCCTTGGAAGGAAGGAAAAGTCAAGCAAGGAATGAGCTTCCCACAGCTTCTGCGCGAGGAAGACTGAAGTGTCCCAAGCATGGCTCATAATGGCCAAGTTCAGCTCCTTGATATTGAGCTTGAGCCGCTCAACCTTAGCCTCGGCCTCTTTGTGATCTTCCACCTTCTTGGTAAGCTCGCACGAAGTTTTCTCATACTTGGCCTCCCAGTCCGAGGTAACCTTCTGAGCCGAGGTAAGCTTGGAGTTCAACTTGTTGTTGGCACCCCGTTGTTATGCCAAACTCTTCTCAGCCTCGACCCACTTCGCCTCAACTTTCGTTTGAGTGGCCTCGCTTGCCTTGATTTTTTCAAGGAACTCCCTCTCCTTGACCTCGAAGGCTTCAACCTTTTTCTCCAACCGCTCAAACTCAGCCTGTTTCAAGTCCTTCTCCTTCTCTACCACCTCGGCCCTAGCCAAGGCATCCTTTTTTAGCTTCTCTGCCTCTTGCCACCCCACATGAGTACCCTCCAAGGTGGGGTAACTTTCATCAAGGAGAAGCTTGGTTGCCATGCAATCCTAAAAAGAAAGAAAAGTTAGCGGGGAATAAAGAAAGAATCTCATAAGAAAGGAAATATGGCAAATTGTTAATACCTTAGTCACGTAGTTGCATGTCCAAGCAAGCTGCTCATAAGGAGACGTATCTTTGAGCACCACATAAGTCTTCGACGTGAAAGCTTCTCTGGCCGCTGAGGCTCTAACGCTGATGTGCTCAAAAAGCCCATCAATCATTGCGTCGAGCGCAACTCGAGTTGTCTCGTCCGTCTTCTTTTTGCCTCCTTACGGAGGCGAGCTTGATTTGCTTCCAACGGGAATGACAGCCTTAACCATGGGAATGGACTTCTTTTTGGCCAAGTCCTTGACTACAGCTTTCTTCGGGCCACCAGCTTGCCCAGTAACCTCCTTGCCTAAGCCACCTTCCTGTTCGGCAACTTTATGCTTTCTCGAGCCTCCCTACAACTCGATCGATTTCTTCTTGCCTGAGCCTTCCTACTGCTCCAACATTTTCTTCATGCCCAAGCCATCCTGCTACTCCGACATTTTCTGCTTCCCGAGCCTCCAGCACACTCGAGGGTTTTCTTTGACGGGCCTTTTAAGGGCTCAGGGGCACCTTTATCCCCAACTGCCTTAGAGGCAGCCGCGGGCTTCTTGGCACTTAGGCCTTCCCCAAGCTCGCAACCACTACGCTTGAGGACCAGGCGCGAGGTACCTTGCCCGAGCACCCTCGCAGCGTTAGCAGGCTGCTTCTTCAATGGACCAATCGACGGTTTCTTGGCAGCCTTAGGCACTGGTGCTTTCTTCGTTAGGCCCTTGGGTTTTTCGGCTCACATATCTACAAAAGAAGAAGAAAATGGTTAGCAACCTAACAGAGCAAGGAAAAAAACACTGAGCTATTAAGCACTTACCTTTTTTTCAAAAATGATATTGAATTTAGCTTCGTTGGCGCAAAAGTCGTACGCTCTCAACCTAGAAAGCGTGATAAGCTCAATAACGTTGTGCTTGTTCTCGGAGAGATTGCTGAAACACTGAAGCTTCTCAAAGCTCGCATCAAGAAGGAAGTTATGCTCGACGTTTACTGCAAAACAATGAGAATTAGTTAGTTTGCTTGTCGAACTTGGAAACACTCTTGTTACGAACAAAGATCAAGGTCTTACTAGCTTCTGAAGCAAAAACACCGATCTTCTTGGCCTCATAAAAGAAATACTGAGAGTCCCAATGCAGAATTTTCTTTGGGACGATGACCACACAGTTAAAATGTATTTTCCTCGCCTTAGAGAGGTAGTACATTTGGTCCTGACTCTTTTTTAGTCTATACAAGTGGACGAGCTCTTCTACAGATAGCTCGCCCAAGTCAACTATTTGGTACGCTATATACATGGCTACAATAATTATATACGAGTTCGCCGACAACTGAAGGGGAACGATACCAAACCGTTCCAAAATGTTGGCGATGAAGAAATGAGGGGGACATGAGGGTATCAGAGACCGCCACACAACTAGTGGGGGGATTTTTTCGAGAGAAGCCTCTCAGAGCCCTCAAGGGAAGTTGAGGTGCATAAAATTTAATTGTGCGCTCAATATCCTCAGCCCCAATTGAGGAACGCGGTTCCTTGCGGGGCCTATGAGCTAGAGATTTCTTCGACAAAGTAGTCTCAACGAAAGCATGGTCAGAAGAGTCCGCTGCATCGAGGTCTAAGCTCCGTACAACGAAGTCCTCAAAAACCTATGGGATTATGTCCCCGAGAACTGTTGAGCCTGCCAGAGAGTCAAACATGTGGTCTATATTGTGGCTGTTTGACAAAAACATAGTAATAGCTCGTCTCTGGGTACCTAAAACAGAAGCGAACAAGTGTCAAAGCTCGAAAATTCGGCGACCTATCCACACTTTGCTTTTAGTTCAAGCACTCTAGGTAGCGAGCTACTAAGATTCTGATGGCCACCTTCATAAACCCTCCTTAAACCCAAAATCGACAGAGACACTCAAAAAACCTTAAGAAAGCCCTAAAAAGCTTAATGTGGCCACGACAATGACCACTCTCAACCACAAAAGGCGTAAAAATAAATGGAGGGAAAAGAAGTCTTACCGAAGTGTAAAAGTGGAGGATATTCACCGGAAGAACGCCGTGAAGTCGAAAGAATAACGACGGAGTAAAAGCAGAGAAGGTCTGAGAATTTTTGCAAAGTGTGTAGTTTATGACATAAGTTGCTCGCTTTTATAGTGGTATGCATGGGAGACGAAGAGGCGGGATTCAACCATAACTGTCGATCTATAGTGAATCTTAGCTCTCCATTCGCCGAGCAATCCTAGCCATTAGACGTGGCCACGTGTCAATCATCCACGAAGGTCGCTCAATTGTCAGACTGCTCCAATTATAACATTCACCACACATCGCCTCGACTTTGCGCATAGACAGCTATAGTCACCCACGCACGACGAAAAGTAATTGCCGAAGGCTAAGGCATTTAATGCGACATGACCGTGTGGAAATTATACACATTTCATTTCAAATTCCGAATCTGTCAAGAATATCACAACAGAGAAAAGGTCAAGTGTTGATTACCGATGATGAGTCCGACTCATGAAACTCGGTCAGATCTTTCTTCAGCGCATAACCTTTCGAAGTCCGAGCTTGACATCAAATCAAGCATTTAGCCTTCGAAGCTCTAAACAAGCACTGAACACTAAGAGGTAGATGTTGTGTGTGATTTTTCCATCAAGCTCGAAAAAGTTATAGGTCAACAAGGTTATAGCCCAACCTAAAATCAGTCCGACTCAAACAATTGTCCAACCCAGTATAAACTCGTCGAGATATAGCTTGACCCTAGCATAAGCTAGTCGCGACCAATCTCGACAGTTGTTCAATCAGCCCATAGATAACCTCAGATCTCGGATATCTCGAAAGGGATTAGATCGATAGTAATCTTTGCGCAATCTCAATGCTCAATCGCAAAAATATCAAAGTTGCATTTCAATCTTAATTGTAATCCCTTTATTTTTCGCTATTTCCTTTGTACAAAATCTGTATATAAACCCTTTCCAACGAGGAGAAAAGGGATAGCAAATTGTTCTAGGAACACTATTGTAATGTCTCACAGCAAATACAAAAACAGTAGACATTGACTCAAGATTCAAACTTGCCAACCCACTTTAAAATTCTCTTGTACTATTTATTTTATTAACTTTGCATTTCATACATTACTGGTTATCTTTAATCACGCACACATCGGTTTCGATTCCGTCAAAGTCGATTGGATCCCTCTAGCTGGTGCAAAACTTGTATCAACATATTATATCCCCTATGATTATTAAAAACCCCTTAAAAAAAATCAAAAACTGCCCTAAAAATATTAAACACTCACAAAGATATCAAAAACCCTATTGTTTTAAATTAAGCGATCTTGCAAGAATAATAATTAATAAATAAACCCAATGAACAACGGATAGACAAAGTCATCTTGCATAAATTCACCATTCAATAATATAAGTCTCTTATTAAATAGTACAAACATGTGATTCACATTACAAAGTCATGATTGCTACTGCATCTACACAGAAAAAGGAAAAAAAAAAAAAAAAAAAAAGGAAGGTCTCAACAGTTATTCTCCAAATAAATTATAAAAGTTTCTGTCACAATGACCAGGACACAACAACCTGGCTAAACATGAGTCATTCATACAATATACTTTGTGTATGGATATCTTTCTCACTCAAAAACTGCAAAGACAAACCATCAACACCACGAAAAGATTTGCATGCAATGATATCAAATACAGTAACAATTTGTATTTTTTCTCATTCATGTTCATACTTTTGCAGCATTTCGAGAGTTAAAAGGGTCAGCGAGCTTCATACTGCAGGATTTGAGCTAGCATAACCGAGTGGCTGCCAATTTATTTCCAGATCTTAACGGATTTGTCATGACTGGCAGAGGCAACCATCCCGGTTAGCGGCGACTGCGATAGGGCTGATATCACACAATCATGTGCCGCAATTGTCATACACTTATTCTCGGTCATATTCCATAATTCCAATGACTGTAAAAGAAAAAGTTCACAACCATAAGATTAAAAAATACATCAATTGTCTTGACTGTTCACAAGTTTAGCTTCACAAGTTTTGTCGTGCAAGGGATATGTGTATCACAAAAAGGGAAAACGATTCAATTAGAAAAAAACTTGAGACCACCACAGCAGGAAAAGAAATGCAAGGCTGTATAGTTACTCAAAAAGATTTAGGTAGTTATACAATCATAACTCCAATCCAGTGAAACATCAAACAAAAGAAATGATTTCATTTTAGGGATATGTAAGCGTATCACAAAATGAACTACATCCCTAAGACTAAATGATTAATTAAAAAAAAATCAATGAATCTTCCGTAGATATTTTGAAGCTAGAAGAAACCACAAGTGAGAATTTATCATTACTAACTAAAATCAATATTGACATATTTCTATTAGCATAAGAAAAAGGATCACCTGGTAGCCTCCAATGACCATGAGAGTTGAATAGGTTGGATGAAAAACACAGGAATGATAGTTGTTGCCACTAAGCTCATGAATGCAGTCTCCCGAGGCCAATGACCACACTCTAACAGACTCTTGACTGACAGATGCCAAATAATCTCCATTTGTGTCCCAACAAATAGAATGTACCTCAGTGGTGTGTCCCTGAGAATCAAAAGATTGTGCTGCCTCATATAAGTAATCCAGACATACAAGCAAGTTGGGAAAACATATGATAATGGAAAGTATTTTTGGTTCTTGGTTCTTTCCAAATTCTCCAAACTTCAATAGTAATATTTATACCTTTAACGAGTGAGTCAGTCTGTCATTTTCAACATCAAAGACAGACACAGTATTTTCTGATGCTGCAGCCAATAGGTGTCCTAGCCTTGGCTGAAATCTCACTTGCACAGTACCTCCCTGTTCCATAAAGTGACAGATTTAGAAATGGCTTCGTATCTGATAGGACTTCATGGATTTTAAATAAAATAAAAAAATACATTAAAAATAAAAAATGAGAGTTTTAAGGCTAGCCTTGGAAATACGAGCACAAGAATACTGATTGATATTCCAGAAGCGAATCTCACTGTTACCATCACAAGAGCAGAAAAGATCATTCTTCTTCGGGTGGAAGTCAAGGGACATCACATGCGAGTTATGCCCCGCATAAGTCTGCAAGGAATAGCTTGGCTGCACAAGTAGCCCAAAATAAGTACCTCAGATGTTTGGACTAAAACATAATATTTGAAAGAGAAATGACATGGAAGCCATACTGAAAAAAGAATGCAAGAACAGATATATGTATTATAATGCAGAGAAATGGGAAACAGCATTTTGCAGAAGGAATACACAGAATAGTTGGGAGAAACAAAACTTGCAGGGCTCTCATATATTAGTCCTTTGCAGCATATTGTTTACTTTTGCCCAATGAATGACATTACACAAAACAGCAATGAAGATAGGGAATTTACTTTGGCAGCATCCCAGAGTCGCACTGTTTTATCGAATGATGATGTTGCCAGCTGAGTGGAATTTGGTCTGAAGCGAACATCAGTAATTATATGATTGTGTTCATCTGGAGTGCATTCACTTTGAAGAGTCTCCATGTTCCAAAGAACAACCTACTGACAAAAATAAAAATAAGCATCCACATCATTTACTTTCTTTTACAAGATTTTGAATATTCATAGTTCTTACACCCTTTTGGCCACTGAAATGAAAGATGAAAGATGAAACCTCAAACACATATAGATGCAGTGGCAAATTTTGCAAATAAAATGCGTCTAAAATGGCAATCAAAAGTCATTGATTGCATGATCAACTGGTCCTGGTTAAGCCTTTCAATAGTTTTGAGGTAGAGTTGGTTTGGATTACAAGTCAACTTGTAAAACCAAATGAATTCACAATGATACTTAAAACCTAAACAATTGTACTTTATGTGAAAGATATAATAAGGACAGTTTCCAGGCCTGGCAACATAGATAAAATGGTGGCAATGGCCTTCATTGACCAAATGGGTGGTACCCTGCCTGTGGTTATGATTGTCATTCTTTAATCCTTAATTTGTTAAACATTTATGCCTCACAACAATTAATATTTATTTTTATATGTCATAGGACAGGGAAAACAAATAATTCTGGACTTTATAATACAAAGTATTTACGTGCTTTGATAAACTAATGATTCTTTACATGGTCTCAGACTGCATGTTATTTGAAATTTATTTCATTCTTCCGGCTATACTAGAGATATTTTGACCCATATATTAAAAAATAAAGGCATGTATTATCATCCATAATTCTCCACCCAGTTAATATATGATTTCTTACTTGACTCAAGTCAAGAAAGAATAAATAAATAAAATAAAATTATTTATCCATGTAATATAACTTAACCAATATGATATATATAGTGAACCACAACTGCATTGGTGTTAGGAGTTAAAGATTTTGCTAACAAAATAATCCATATATTAGGAATAATTATATTTTCCCTATAGCTGATGCTTTGAATATGTATTCCTTGCATGATACAATGCATTATACCTTTTTGTCATGCCCGGCACTGGCCAATAACTTTCCATCTGAAGAGAAATGACAACATGTAACTTTGCTACTACTTTTACGTATTGAGCTAACTTCATTGAAGGAGAAACCTGAGAAGCAGAACAGAAAGCACTTGGTATTGTCAATTAAAACTGTTATCATTGCTAGAAGCATGAGATTAAATATTACCCTTGGAAGTTTCAGCTGCTTGTTCAGAAGGGTTCCGCTTCAATGTACCAAACAAATCCCTTCCATCTCCATCATCATGTGAGAGAAAAGATTCCACATTATCATCTAAGGAGCCAATGTCTCCAAAATGTTCCATATCTTCCTGCATTTATGTAAACATACACCTTAAAGAGCTTTATTTGGTCTACAACAAAAATCCAGTCAGGATATTTCAGCATAGAAATACATGTATAGGATAACGATTACACAGATGATAAATTTTACCAGCCACTTTACCAATAGTCAAATTACATCATACAGATTGGCAATGCATTGTATTCTGGATCACTAAATTTTGCAGTTTGGAACAAAGTATACCACATTAAAACAACGATTAGTAGAGTATATGCATTTTAGTTTGTCTACTTGTGGAATTCTCACTGGTGCAGAACACACCAGAAGATCAACCCCAATTCATGGTTAAATACTGCGATGATCAATGACCTGGAGTATCAAAGTTGAAGAATTTCACTAACATATTTCATAAGTTATCAACGATTGGGAAATATGAAGATGAATCAAAGAAACATTAACTATTTATTATTTTCTGGTTTCCAAAAATGAATTCAAGGGAGGGATAAGAAAATTTTACAAATTCAAAATTTTTCTTATCTTGCAAGCCCTGTGCACAAATATTATGTTGTTATGAGAAATATGGATTCAGACATATCCTTCACATCTCTAGTTTATGTATGTTATGAACTTGGATGTACATACCAGCTGGTTCGTAGATGATGCATGACCACCTGCTCCATCAGAACCATACATCATTAAACCTTTTGGCATGTTACTGACATGCTGCAAATTGCCTGATATAGCAACTCCATCACCAGGGGTATGAGTTGATGGAGTTGAAGGTTGAGAGTTTGGAGAAGGCCCAACTGTGTTTCCCGTACATGTACTGTTAGCAGCTCCAGAAGAAGACGGCCCTTTCCTTTTTCTGTTGTTCTGTTACACCACAGACATGCAATACTTATAAAACATTAAGCAAAAAGGAAAAAAAAAAAAAGGCCATCACAACTTCGTAACAGTAGTTCATATAGAATTTTATAACTGATGCAGGAAGGAATGGTGTTGAAACATAACACTCCCTGCAACAAAAACTGTTATACCGTATAATTCATAGTTTCTAATAATCAAAAGAATATTACAAGCTTCATTCTTTGTCAACAGAAGTAGACAGAACCTGCTGAGCTGCTTGTGTTTGCAAGGGATCTTGTTGTTGAGAGGAAGACTGTTGTATCTGTGGCAAATTCATCTGCTTAACATCAAAGTTTTGGACAAAAAAACATAATGAGTATCCCATAAGTGTCTCTGAGTTTGTTATCATGAACAAAAATAACATTCAGACTTGGGAAGAAATTCTTACTTTTGATGAAGTTGATTGCATTGGCGAACCTATAGATCCATCGTTTGCTATTGGTTGGCCATCTTTTGCATTTAAACTGCCTCTAGGTAATCCCCCAAACCTTCCCATATCTCCATAAATTGAATTACCAAGATTGCCTTGTGCCTGGGCCTGTGCTAGAAGCTGCTGTTGCTGCTGTGGTAAAAGCTGAAACTGATTTCCACCTGGTAGGAAAGGTTTCTGAACTTGTGCACCTAGATTTGGCCGAATTTGGTCAATGCCCTGTATCATTCAGCAAAGCCTTGGTTTAAAACAACCATCCAGATAGACTAATGAATCTCAAGAAAAGATGAAATCAAATCAGACTTACAGTTAACGGCCACCCCTTCAATGGAAGACCACCAACTCCAGGATTCAATCCTTGAGAAAGAATAGAAAGCAAAAAATTATAAAGATTTACTCAGAGACCTGACTAACAATAAATAATAAATCACATAATTGCATTTATATCATGGCAATAGTGTCCCAATGGAATCCAACTTGGAAAAAGGAAAAGGAAAAACATTATTCAAGATAAGCAGCTAATCGCCCACGTGGGTGCAAACTCAAAACTATTTTCTAAAGTACATTTCAGTACAAACTAGACTGAAATATGTTTTTATAGTCAAAGTTCATAAATCGTACTTGGAGCCTTAAATCTGACTAGAAAGAGCGAAAGGAAAGTTCCAAATCTAAGAAGGAAACGGAGAACTCTTTAGATCGAACTTTAATCCATCTTGGAAACAAGACTGAATTATGATGAAAACTGGTTATGCAACAGACCCACGCTCACCACCTTAAGTGACCACAACAACTCAATATACTCAATTTCCCAACAACAATCCAGCCAAGTAAACATACAAGAACAGATTAACAAGCATTAATGGAAATGAAGAAATATATATATTGATATTCAATGAAACAGTGAACTCAACAAGACTCAAGCAACCCAAATAAGCAAAATAACACCTGGTCTCCGAGGGCCAGTACCTCCCAGACACACCCACACGAATTTCCTGAATATCCCTCTACACACTCACATCCCTCTTTTATTCCTGACATTTTCAGATTCTCCTCTAACTAACTCTGCCACCTGTTACCTTAAGCAAATGCCCTTTTTTACCCCTTTCTTTTATACCATTGAGACACCTTGGGTCCATCAAATTATTACTATTATTATTTTTTATAGGAAAACGATAAAACTATATATTAAAAGGACAATGAGGTAGGTACATCAATGGACTAGAGATCCACCAAAATATCAAAAATCCAACAAGGGAGACAAATCTGTACAAGATAGAGACTAATTTGGAATTAGTCTTTTGGAGGTAATATGAGAATAAAACAATTTTTTCTTATCATGTTCATTTCAAATGACTTAATCACTGCTTTCAGTTTCCTAACCTTGATTAGGTCCAACTTCTACACATCTGTTACTTAGTAGAGATAGAGACAGTTGCTGAATTTTACAAGTTTTCAGCAAACAAGCAGAAAAGACAGATTGAAATCGAACTTAACAATCAATCAGACCCTATAGTTTTGTAAATATTTATTTATTAAATAATTTTGGCTAATTTTATTTTCCTATCGGTGTTGTATGGCTATGGTGGCTTTCAACTTTTTGTTGGCACATAAGTTCTTTCAACAGCCTCTTTGGTGTTCCACTAACTATTTTACAAAACATAGATAAGAATATTATAAAGGAAAAGGTATTTTTACCTGTGTTTCCTAATCCAGGTTTTGATTGCATGATTCCCTGACCATAAAGCGAAGAAGGATCCATAGGCATAGATCTTTGAGAGGCACCCAGGTTCATTTCACCTTTGATGTCCTAAAATACAAGAATGCCAGCTTAGTAAAATTCACAGCAACATAAAATATGAAAAAATAGCACCTAACATAGCAACATGTTGTCTAAGTAGTTACAGGGGTCTGTTGAGATCGTGCCTGAATTTGCTGCAGTGCTGCAGTCACACTTCCATGATTTCCTGGAACCAGCTGACTGTGGCACAAAGAGAAGAAGAGAATAAAAAACCCACAGGGATTATATAGACAAATAAAGTGAAGCTAATCAGATAATTTTAGTAGAACGTTTACCTAGGATGATTTGTAGCTGATTTCAGAAGGGCCATTCTAGCATCAAGAAGTGGTTGGGATGTCTCCGAACCAACTGAATTTCCCATTGAATTTGTGTGTTTCATACGTTCTTCATACATTTTTGCAGCCAACGCACTAGCATTTGACTGCCCTACCATTCCTTCAGAATTTACAGCACTTACCGGCCCACCAAGAGAAGGATGATTTGGATTCCTTTGTTGCATCTGATCTTGACGCATTAATTGCAACTGCTGCATTTGCATCTGTTGCTGCTCTTTTGCTTTGACTTGTTGTGCCTACATGCCAATTGATAGAAGGAACAACAGAAAGAGAAAGTCAAGCTACCAAAAGTTGCTAATAGCAGGTAATACCACTAATAGCCACTGAAATAAATGAAGCCACCTCTATATATGAGGCAGCAGCCTCAGAATGCTTCTCGTTTGTCCTGGCGATAAATATGTCCCAGAAAACAGACCACCATTCAAAAAGAAACCCTCCAGGAGCATCAATTGCTGCATACATAAGTTAACTGCTATAAAAAATTCTTGTTCAAACACCCCTTCAAAATAATCCAACCAAATTATACACTACACTGAAGTACCAGTCAAGTAAGCACAAAAAAGGTATCAAATTGCCTTTTTAGAATATTTCAGAAATTCATGTAAATCTTAAACAGAAGAACACCACAACTTAAGAGAAATGCTATATAAAGAAAAAGTCCACACCACAAACCTACACAGATTACCATTAATACGGGAAAACTTAATTTTTTTATTTTATATAAAAATTGTAAGATGAATTATTTATTCAAAAAGCAATTCAACTAACTAAACTAACATCACAAGTCAACAAGAAACATACTTTTACTGGAACATATATTACCTACTGGATCCGGGGCAACTTTCCCTTCAGTCATGAAGGACTTTGCAGTAGAATGCAATTTTTTCTTCACCAAGTAATCATAAATGTACACATCAAGCCTAACAATACAACAAACCAAAATAACAATAAGATCTCCCTTGCATAAAGCAATTCAAACATGCAACAAACGTAATTATTAAACTATACATACATCTTGTCCGCTTCCCAATTACTGCTTTGCTGCGCCATCCTTTCAGTCCAACCAAACAAAAATAACTCCTGAAAATTGAACTAATCAAAATTCAATTTCACAATTACAAACTTATTAATCAAATTCAAACTGCTCAAAACTACAATTATTTAATTTTCAATTCGCGAACTCAATTTCATAAATCTCACCCACAGAATTCAAATTCAGATTTCATAATATCTACGAATTATACAACGAATCCTACAGTTAACTGAAGGAAAACAAGAAATTAAATAAAAACTTAAAAATTTAACCTCAAATTCAATAACTTAGATGGATCAAAGCCAACATTACCAAATCTTAAGCTTTCGTCAACAACGATCTCAGCTGATCGAGCATTGCTCCTGCAGTGAACAAATTCATCAAAATTATAAAATGAAGAACTAATAATTGAATAATTCATAACTAATATTTAAAATTTACTCACGAAACTAGACGATATGTGATCCAAGAAGAGAAAAAAATAAAAATTCGAGCTGGAGAGTAATTCAACTATGAGCTGAGTAACAGCCGGAAGCTAAACAGCACAGAAAAGGAGAGAGTTTGAACGAGTTCTCAAGTTTGGTTCGGATCCGAAGCTGATGGTTTGAAAAACGAGGCTGATGTTCGGGATCCGAAGCTGAGGTTTAGGCGGGCCTAACCAGTGACAACTGTGGTTTCTCAGTACAAGCAGGCTTGTAATTTGATGGATTTAATTGTGGGCGTCCGATTATGGGGTCCACAGCCGTATTTTGGAGCACGCCACGTTGGATGTCGGCCCTCTTCTGATTTGCAAAAACAAATTTCTTAGCCATGTTTGGCTTATTATTTTTATCCATATTCTCAATCCTATTCTCTAAATAATATTTGGCACATTATTCCAAAAATATTATCTTATTTTTTTAATTACTTTTAGACCTCATAAGGTTATTAATTTTATTAAATACACCCTAAAAAAAGTTTAAAAATTATCAAAAACACCCCCGCAACCCATACTTNTAACAAAAACATTAAAAATATTTAGGGGTATTTAATTGAATTAACAAATTTAGGGGGTTTAAAAAATGTTGAATAAAGTTGAATAATATTGTGAGTTTTTGGGTATTTTACTGTTTAACTTTTTTGGGAATACTAAAAGTAGTATTCCCAAAATCCAACCAAACGAAGCCTTTGATATTGTTAGGAGTTTTATGTATTTTTAGATTTATTTTGTAACTTTCGAAGAGAATTTTGATAATTTTTCTAAAATTATATTATTGTTAATTTTTTATTAATTGACATATACAGTAAAACCTCTCTATAAATAGTGATACTCTATATAGGAATAAACTCTATATAGTCATAAAAAAAAATTATTCTCAATTTGAGATAGTTATAAACAAGAATAAATTCTACATTTTAATAAGTTATAATTTTTATAATGCCCGTCTTAAGAAAAGTTGCCTCCATATAGTAATAATTATCTTTATATTACAAAAAAAAATATATGTTATATTACATTAAAAGTTTAAGATAAAATAAAATATTTATCTAAAGTTGTTTGAGATAATGATTTATACTTTAGAGTTGTTATTACATCTTTTAACTTGCAAGTAGATTACTCACTAGCATGAATATCTTCTTGTTGAAGCCAAATATTTCTAGTTTCTCAAGTATGTTTAGAGTTTCTTGGCACAAAATTTTTTGTATTTCCGTATTATCATCTTCATGATTATTTTTTTTTTCTTCTTATTTAATTGTAGTAATAATTTTTCTTTAGTTAAAGTATACATGATTTATTACTTATTTGGATGATTGAGAAATACATTAATATCGATTCGATTAGTGTAATGAAGTTGTCGAATTTGATCACTAAAATCTACAATGACTCTTTGATTCTTCTCATTTACTTCATTTATAACTTGCAATTCATCGACATCAAAGATCATAATTTGGTAATGATTAAAACAACTGACAATAATATGTGATTTCACATCAATTTGCTACATAATTTTGGAATGATTAAAACAATTGACAATAGTATGTGGCTTCACATCAATTTGTTACATAATTTTATAATAATTAAAACAATTGGCAATAGTTTGTAGCTTCACATCAATTTGACCATGCAGCAACTGTATTTATAAATTTTGTCAAGGACACTTATCTTTGTTGGTTTCAAGACACGATCTTTTATCGGTTTCAAAAGTAGACAATTGAAGCGTTGAATTAAAATCTTAATAGTATTAAAATATTAATGGAAATCATATTTTACTACTAAAACATGAATTATATAGGAATTTTTGTTATCATACCTCTATTAAGTTATAATTTCCTCGTAGTAATAAAATTAATGAATCTCACCATTATAACTATAAAGAGGTTTTATTGTAATAATAAGTTGACTTTTTATTTCATTTTTCAAGTCATTTAATGGCAATTCACTTTGTGTTCAAGACTTTATATGCAAATGTAAATATTATTCATAGAATAAAAACTAAAATTGTAAAAAATTGACATGGATGAATTGACAGCTAATCAAAGTTGATGAAAAATTACTTTACCTAAGTGGAGACAGTTACCCTGGCGGCCACGCTGTCTTCGCATGCATGAAATTGTATCTTGCCAATAACAAACCTACACTTGGCAATTCTGTAAATAAGATCCTTAATTTATTTAAGTGATTGGCAGTAAACAACATGAAGAAAAAGCTAATAAAAAAATACATAATATAATAATCAATCAAGTACTCAACAACTACTAATTTTGTCCATAGTGGATTAAACTAACCATTGCGTTTTGTACTTTTTGCTAAGATATTTTGACGTCAAAATTTACTTAAATGACCCTGCTTAACGTTCAAACTAAAAAAGCAACTCATTGTGAGACCCATTAGTTAAGAAGACGAGTGATGCTATTGTCCCCACATTTTGTCTTTTAAGACCCCACTTTTAAGTTTACCCCATTAAAATATTTTAATATATTAAATGTTTTTATAAACCTCACTCATTTCTAAAATTACCCATTTATTTATATTTTTAATATTTTTTATGCTTCTTATTTTGAATATAATGTTTAGAGATTAAATCCATTTACATGTGTTTTTAGTTCCAAGGTTATATGAATAATAATTAAGAAATTTACTAAGAAAGAAATTGTAATTAAAAATTTAATAATAATTAAGGTCTATAGAGATAAAATATGGGGGGTCAATAGTGTCACTCAAAGAAGATTCTTCAACATTATTTTAGCCAAATATACCCTCAATCATGCAACATAAATTTCGCAAAGGCCACATCAGTATAAACTTTTGTGATTTGTGTGTTTGAGTTAGCTTACGCGTACCTCAACTAATCTTTTAAGACTTTGAAGTGAACGATTGAATAAATCCTTTTAATAATCACTCTTATTAGTGTTTATTATACTTGAACTCAAGAATCTATATTATATCTATTTTTTCTTTTATTATCAACCCACCTAATGGTGGTTTAAAACTACAAAATAAATTTCCTCATAAGTTGGCTTAAATCCTAGACAATTTTATCTCTTTTAATTATTTGTTTATTCTTTTATCCTTAGCCTCCTATATAAAAGTAGGAGCTGCCAACTTATTTGGCATGCTTCTCATTAATTCATTTATCTGATGCAATTGACTCACCCTTCGCCTAGAGTATTAGAGAGTAAAATAAAATAAATTGTTCTGGTCGTGGGTTAACATTAATTATAATTCTGTTTTATTTAAAAACAGATAAATGTATAGTCTAAATGAGATATCTAGATATGTTTTATGTGATTGTTCAATATAATTCATTATAATAATATGGGTAGATGATTAGTATGTGCTTGGGCCTTTAATGGATTTCAAGGTTTTTTGGGCCTTTTATGGGAGAGCCCAATTAACCAATATTAAAATTGGCTATATCTCTTTCCAAACCATCAAAACAACTAAACCCATTATAAGTCGTTGTTCAGTGCACTATTTTTTGAAAACTTGTCGTTTCCTCGGTAAGGAATTCAAGAATCAGAAATTATGACACAAACAAGTTTGCCTATAACTTTTAATTATTGATTCTATATTCTATAATTTATGAGTTGATCTTTTGGCATATTGTTACTTATGATGAGATTATATTTTTATTGTTTGATTAAATGTTGATAGAAGTCACAAATAATTTTCTTACATTTCTTTCATAAAATTGTAGAATGCAAAGCCTTTAGTCGTCCGTCATTGTCCAGGTATTTACAAAACCTTCTAACACCATTGATCCATCTCTTAAACTCCGAACACAACCACCATATCAATTTAACAACCTAAACATTAAAAACAACATTTTTCTTCCATATACAATAAAGATTTTTAAACTTTCATTGGAGATCAGCGCTTAACGAAAGACTGTAAAGCTTGTTTGTTAGGTCACTGCAGTTGCCACTTTATGTACTTCCTTTGCTATTTTGCACTCCTCTTTTATAACTAATTTATTTGCCATCCTTTGTTGCTCTTTGCTTTTTACAATAATGTTTTACTTATAATTGAGTCATACAAACAGATAAAAATTACATAAAATTTATGTAAAATGACTATTATATCTTTTATTTGTTGTTTGTTAATATAACTCAATTGTAAACATAGCATTACTCTTGCTTCTATTAAAGAAAATCTTTCTCAATTGTTGTTCCTACATACAATAGCTAAGTTTTGGCTGGGAGCAACACCTTTAAATCAGGGTTTTCTTTTACCATTTTGTCCTATTTTCGTGTGTCTACTATTCTGCATTCACCCACTTTAATTTTATGCAATTATCAGATTTTATTAATTATTTTAGTTTCAAAATTGTCTTGGATTCAAATTCTTCAACATTAATTGTTTGGATTATTTTTCAAACAATTCTTCTTTCGCAATTCATTAGATATTCGCATGCCAAACCTTAATTTTCATAATTTATTTTTTGATAACCGGGATGTATGGACTAATTTACGCGCATTTCAACTAATTCTCATAGTCCATTGAACACTCTATAAATCCAAAGGACCAGATAAACCACAATATATTGTGTTAAGTGACCCTAAGGTTTGAAACCAGAAACTCAAGGAAATGAGTAAACCCTCTTGCCACCATACTACCCCCTTGAGGTGGAAAATTAAATCAATTTCCATAATTATGGCTTCGGTTTTTTTTTGCTTTATAGCACTGGTGAAAAAAAAAATGATTATTTCAAATATTTATTTATAAAAATAAAAAATAATTTATTTATTTATAAGAAATAAAAAAATAACGTCTCTTTATTTATTTACTTAAAAAAAAAAGAATGGATATTCAAATATTTATTTATAGAAGAAATAATGAAACTATAATTTTATTTATTTACCATCAAAATAAAAAATATGCCTTAATTTAATTATTTTTTCATAAAAAATAAGAAAAATGAAATTTTACTACAACTATTTATTTCTTAAGAAAATATTGTAAAAAAAATTGTTCTGAGAAGCAAGAAAATGAAAGAAAATCACCAAGAAAGCAGAGAGAAAATTGAGTCTGTTATTGATGTTTTCTGGATACAAAATACACAATAAAAGTGCAATTTAATTTTTATATACAACTTGACTACTTGAGT